TTTAATAACTGGCCTTTTATAGAAAAAGTCTGCTGACCCCTCTCTAGATGATCTAGACCTGTGGTCAGCAAACTGCGGCTCGCAAGCCACATGCACTCTTTGGCCCCTTGAGTGTGGCTCTTCCACAAAAAGCCTGGATGAGTCTATTTTGAAGAAGTGGCCTTAGAATAAGTTTAAGTTTAAAAAGTTGGGCTCTCAAAAGAAATTTCAATCATTGTACTGTTGATATTTGGCTCTGTTGACTAATCAGTTTGCCGACCACTGATCTAGACAATCTGGACCAAATAAAGAATGTGGGCCCAAATGTGTTTCTATAATACAATAAAATAATCAAGAGGAAATGACTGTAAGATATTAGGACAGTGGTCGGCAAACTCATTAGAAAACAGATCCAGCTGAAACTGGTTTGGCTCAGTGGATAGAGTATCAACTTGCGGACTGAAAGGTCCCAGGTTCCATTCCGGTCAAGGGCATGTACCTTGGTTTTCAGGCACATCCCCAGTGGGGGTTGTGCAGGAGGCAGCTGATCAATGTTTCTCTCTCATCAATGTTTCTAGCTCTCTTTCTCCCTTTCTCTCTGTAAAAAATCAATAAAATACCTTTTTTTAAAAAAACAAACAAACACCACACATAAACAATATGACGATTGAAGTTTCTTTTGAGAGCCAAATTTTTTAAATTTGAACTATATAGGTAGGTACATTGTTATTGAGTACTGCTAAGCTGGCCTTCGCTAATAACTCAAGGGGCCAAAGAGCCCCATGTGGCTCGCGAGATGCAGTTTGCAGACCACTGTATTAGGAGCTATCACTGATGAAAACTAATGACTAATTGAAAGAGGTGCAGTAGGAAACACAGTTTTGAGAATGATACCTAAATTCCACTTGTGGTGTATTAACTGAGGGAGGGAACATGAAGCCAGGAAGTTTGGGTGAAGAGGTGATACAGAAAGGGAGAATATGATCATGATTTTACTTAGAGCCATTTTCCATTATTTCCCAAAAGAAGAGAAGATATAGCACTTCAATGCCCAAGAGAAAAATCGAGGCTGAAGAGAAAATTTGGGAATGTTTATATTCCAGAAAAAGAAAAGATACGGAACAGAAAATGTTCACAATTAGGAAGTTCCAAGGCATCCATTTCTCCTCACTTGTGAGGTTCTGCACAACATTTTTCTCATTAAACTTCTTACTTCTTGCGTGATTTAGCATATACAATTGACTCTCCTTATTCACAGATTCCTTATTTGCAAATTCACCTACTTGCTAAAATGTATTTGTAACTCCAAAATCAACACACATTGTGCTTCCAGTCATTTGCTAACACGTTCACATGTTCAATTTTGAGTTGCCTGATCCACTTGTTCCCAACTGAGGTTGAACAAGGTGACTCTGCCTTCTTAGTTCTCGTACCGAAAGACAAATGTCCTTTTAGTTCTTCAATTCATGTGGTGTTTTCTGCATTTTTGTTGGTGACTTTACTGTTTAAAAAACTTCATAGTTCAGAAGGGTTATGCATTTAGTTCCTATGTACAAGGCTATAACATGCCTTATGGGAATAATATATGTATCAGATACGCTTCATTCAGGCTGTTAGCCATGGTTCAATGTTAATGATCAACTACATGTTAAGTAAGGTCTCCTTATACAGAAACGCACATAAAACAAGGTTATATATTGCTCAGTGAACAAAAATGTTGTGAAGGGCTTTCAGGAACCTAAGCCTGTATTTCTCCTAGAAGCAGTGCTCCAAGATTCATTGTTTATAGGGAATTTGTAGAATATAACTATCGTAAATAATGGGAAGTGACAACCAGGTTATAAACTTCTTGAAAACTCCTTTATTCATTTTTTTTTAATTCATTTAAGCTGAAAAGAAATCATAACAGTTCAACCATTTGTGGTAAATCAAAATTCCTTATTCATCTTCATAGTAATATAGTACTCTGCCATTCATGGACATTTCCTTAAAGTATCTATTATTACTAAGGAATAGACCTTATTCACAAATGTGAATGACTTTTCCAAAAGACAAGATCTAATAAACATGTTTGGGTTGGGAAAGAAGTTCAAAGATGATGTGGGTCAAAGGCTAGAGCCTCCAGGCAAGGTCTGCTTTTATGAATAATACATTTAGAAATACTTTAGAACAAAAGACAACCACAAATGTAAACAAAAGTGCCTAATAATTTTTAACCAAAAGGATCATTAAGCTGATGTAACAAGTTTTGTTACCGAATGTTTCATAACAATGTCATTCAATATGCCTCAAGCAACATGAATATTTAATGAAAGCTAAGTGGGAGGGCAGTTGTAATTGGTATGAAATTTACAATTAAAGTTTTTTAACTTTCATAAAAGTATAAATTGGTAATTTCCCAAACTGGAAGTTGAATAACTTAATTTTAATACAATTTGAAATTAAAGAACAATTGTTTACACAACATCGAATAAGGATGTTCCCAAGTCAGATATCAAACTGCAAATTCAAAATAAACAGAGGAAATGTAAACAGTTATAAAATACCAACATTTAAGAAAAATAAAATACCAACATTTATTAATGTTGCTTAGAGCAAGGCTATTCATAGTATGGCCCGGGAACTGTTTTGCAACCAATCCAAAAGGAAAGATGAAGCTTGGGCTAAAAGAAAACCAGTTCTAGCAGTGGTCGCCAACCCGTGGTCCGGGCCACTGGTGGTCGGTGAGGTCCGAAAGGTTGGCAACTGCTGAATTCTAACTCTAACCGCTGCCTTACAGCAAGGATTCCTTGATGAAGGAAGCTATGTGTTTAGACTCTGGCACAGGCACCTTCTCTCATCACAACTGACAAACAGGTCCGTCCTGCTGGGTTTCTTTAAGTGCTATTACAATTTTACTCCTCAGAGTTAGGTTAATTTTGTGGGGGGTGAGGGGGAGTTAAATGGCAATTTTAACTGTCACCTATTCTACTACTCTTTAATCTCCCCTCTCTAGGGATTGAATCCAAGAGGAAAATTAAATTCTATAAATTCATCACAGTTTCACACTCCTCTTCAGACATTAGTTCACCTCACAGGGGCTCTTTAGATTTCTGCTTCAGTCAGATACATTATCTGCTTTTGACAGACATTTGTTTTCAATCTTGGGAGGGGAAAAAAAAATAAGAATTGAGTCATTTGTTAATAATTTCTCTCTAAAGATTGCTTTACTTTATTTTTACATTTCAATCAGTGAAAATATTTAAATTCACCCTTATGAAAAAAATTGAATACTGTTTATGTGCAACCACTGGTTGCTTTTATTTATTTATTTTTACAATAGAAATTGTTAGAGAAAAAAGTCTGGAAATTTACAACTCTGTGTATTCTATAAACTAAGAGGAAGTATATAAAGTATTTTAACATTCCTAAGAGTAAAAGAAAACTAGTATAAAATATATTTTAAGAACTGGCTTATAATTCAAAATTCAAACATTTCTTGATTTTTTTTTTTTTTTTAGTATGGCACAATTTCTCTAGAAATTTAAATATATAATATGGTCTTTTATAAAAGTAATCGTTTTCTCTTTTTCCAATGGCTTACTAAGCTTTACCTGCATTACCTTAATACTGAAGGCAAATAAATGGACAATCAATAATTTAAAAAAAAACTCACCAGTTCTACATATGTTAAGAGCCCAGTTCAGCTTTCACAATGACTGGTTTATTGACCCAACAAACTGCTCCTTAAAGAATTTATATGTATATTCATATGTCATAAGACAAGAGCTCTTTTGGCACCTGAGTTGAGCACAACAGAGTGAAGAATGCCTAGACAAAGTTATCTAAAGACTATATTTTAACTTTTGATACATATATACATACACCTGTACATATATACACACACAAAAATAGAAATAACTTTCCTTCAAGAAATGCTGGGGATATAAAGACTAAAATGACCTTAACATGACAGTATAATAGACTTTTGAATCGTCACCCAAGATTGCCCAGGAGTGACCTTGCCCCGCTGGGACTGCACAGTCCCCATCCCTGAGCACACGCCCTGCTGTCCCCAGGGCCTTCCTGGCACTGGTCCCACCAGAAGACCACGAGGACCCTCTGCAGGGGGCCTTCTGTGAGCCGCAGCAACACAAGGCACTGACACGGGAACTTCAGAAGCGCGAACGGCATCGGGTTTGATGACCACATCTACCGTGCTGACTCCGGCATTGTGTTCAGAGTCCTACTGGTGCTGGGACTTTTTAAACGCACACTGTTAGATCTCTGAATGCCTGGCTTGTATCTCAAGACTTAGAAGACATCTAGAATTCTGTAAGTCACCTAAGTCTGTCAGCATTTTCTTCTAAATTAATTAACAAAGGTGTTTGGCTGACTAAAAATGGAGCGCACTCAGTTTTCCCTATGTATCTTCTTCTCTAGAAATTCTGGAAGATGAAAATCCTCTACCTTTGTAAACCGTATTTCCCATTTGTCGGATCCGATCACATTTGAAGAAGAAGAAGAGTTAAATGCCATGCTCCTCTTCCCTCTGCTCTGACTTGTATATAACATCCCTGTTCTGATTTGTAACCCCCCTACTCTTGGTAAAGGACCTATCTCAGAGCAGACTACGTATAATGGGAATCATATGTAATTTCAAAACAGCAATCAAAAACATCTTCAAATATAAAATAGCTCTTCATTTTTTTCAGTTTACATCAACCATAATATAACTCAAATCACTTTTTTCCTGATATATAAAACATTTTGATAAATCCATTTGAACTTAAATTATTCCAATGCACACTTTTATTTTTGGTAATATATTTAAGTCTTTTCTTCTCTGCATAGTGGTATTTCAGGATAGGAAATGAAATTATGCTAGTAACTAGTAATGCCATTTTAAAACAATTTCCTAAATTCGCCTATGCAAAAGTGCATCTACAATATAAACAGGCCACATATAAAGCTTCAAACTAGTCACACACTGGCGTGGATTTCAAATTCCAAGTTCTGTCCATATGAGTCAGAGAAGAGTGCTAGCAGAGCACATCTGGAACCAGTTCGTGGGGGTTGGGCAACGAGTCGTCAAAGCGGAATCTTTTGGAAACCACACTGCTATCCTCGGGGATGTTCTCTTTGTCTTCTCGATCCTCACAGGTGCCATTGCAGGAGGATTTCAAAGTCTTGTCTTCAGGGGACCTGGTCGTGTGTTCCTGACCTTGAGGGAGACTGGACATTTCTTCAGGGAGGAGTAAGTTTCCAAAGTCCCATTGCTGTAGCCAAGAATGAGTGAGGCAGATCTCTGCTGTTGGTCTTTTCCTTTGAGAGAAAACACCAATGAAAAACTGAGAACTAAACAGCAGTTTGGAAATGTCTGCAGTTCAGTGTATCATCAAGTTACATGTTATAAATATGAAAATAGCACATATCCATAGTACAGAAGAGAGTAAGAATTGGAAACCTGAGTACCTAGCAATTTCTTTAATTCTGACATGTGCCAAAAATTTAATTTATCATGTAGCTTACAGATAAAACTATCTAGTCAAAAGCTTGAGAATGGATGTTCTCCTCACAAATAAAATTTAGTAAAATTTTAAAGTCTCGGGTTTTAGACCCTTTGAAGGAAAATATGATTTATAGTATCTATTGTTATTTTGTTATTAAAAGCAGTCACTGCTAAGTCTTAAAAACAAAAGCTACTCTTCAATGATGCTTACATAACATTTTGAGTTTTTAAACGTTGCTTTCTATTATAAAAGTAATGTAAGTCAAATATCACAATCTTTCAAAAGTAAGAAAAATACCTATCTATCCTAGAACTCCAACGTTTACACAACCACATTACCATTAAAACCTGTTTCCTTAGTCTTTGTCTTCATGTTTTTTCCTAACTATAAAAAAAATTAATGTGCTCACTATAGAAATTTTAGAATCTAGGATAAAAAAAATATTGAAGTAAATAAAAACTGTCTATAACCAGAAACAAACAGTAGTGTACTATTTCAACTGTCACGTCCAAAATACAGCCAGTGAGAGCTTGTTTGGGCCAATAAAATAATTAACAAACCTAAGAGGGTTTTTTCTTAAACAGACAGGAGACTGAGTCCTCCTGAGATGAAATAATTACGAGAGATAAATGTCCTGACAAGTAATACCACAGGATCCCAGCCCAGGGCACTAGACCACAGCCTCTGCAGTAAGGACAGCCAGGCCCTTTTAAAGTAAACACTGCTGGTCCTGGCAAACAAAAGGGCGGCACCTTTTCTTTTCCTGCCTTGAAGTTGCCAATGAGTGAGGACAGAGTCCTGAGCCATAGTTTCAAATCCCTTCCTCAGTAGGCGGTCAAAGAGCACTGATGATCCTTCAAGATCTGACCATCAGGCATTTGCACTTGTTACCTAACTGTGATCATTTCACTACAAATCAATCAGCCATGTGTATTATAAACCTTCTATTTCTAATTACTTTAGGGAATTTCAAGAATTAATGGCAGGTTGAGAGAAAAAGAGCCCAAATCTTCCTTTCACTCCAAAATTTCCTGTTTTGTATTTCATATTTTCCATGTTTGAAATTATGAATTTGTTATTTAATGATCTCTCATACCACCCCTTTCCCCATTTTACCCGAGAGCATACTTGTAATGTTGTTATACTGTTTTAGAATGTATGCTTCTTAATAAACACAAATTATTTATTTTATAAATAGAGTAAAAGATGAACGTTCTTACTTACTCTGGATTTTTTACTAAAAGACTCTGGATAAAGTCTGTGGCCAGCTGTGAAACTGATGAGAAAGTTTCCTCTGAATAATCTACGTTAACTTGAGATATATTGAGGTATGTTTCTTGATTATCTTCTCCCACAAATGGGGATGTATGAGTTATTAACATATAGGCTATTATGCCAATATTCCTGAAAAACAAAAATGGGAGAAGAGATATTTTAAATGTGTTAATCTTAAAACATTTATATAAAATAAAATTGATACTCAACATATATATATATATATATATATATATATTCCTGTTTTCAACTTTACAGTTAAACTACAGACTTAAGTTGTTTTTCTAAGTTCCTATATTATTAAAACTAAAATAATAATCTCAAAATCTGCCTCACAAAAAAAGAATGCGGGGGAAGTGCACATGTCATGTAGTTATGAATATATTAAATATGTATCATTATGCCTCCAGTCCTCCTTCACACAAACACATGCTACCAAGTACTGAAGCCACTCCAGACAGCATTTTCCCAGTGGTGTCCAAGGACACAGTAACGATCCATGAGGCATAAGCAGGGCTTTTGTGCAAACAGAGTCTGCAGGTTTGGCAAGGCATGAGGTTGGGCAGGTCGATTTTTTTTACGGCAAAACTTTTCAAAGCCTTAAATAAGTTAATGGCAAGTCTTGTGCTCAGGAGCCACAAAAAGAGAATACAGACAGTGTGCTTCACCTCTCCTTCAGCCACAGGACCCTTTTCCTCGGCAAACCCATCACAGCTCCACGAACCCAAATCTCCCCTAAACTCCTCCACGTGTCCTCAGTCAGAGCCACAGGGTGTGGCACAGCACTGTGGCTGATCTGTTCCTTCACTGCATCTAGTCTTCCTCCAGGAAAGGGTTTTCCTGTTTATTTCTGTACCGCTGGTTCAGAGCTGAAGTGCTACTTAAAAGAAAGGATAGATAAACACTTTCCTGTGGCATAATAATGACACTTGAGTAAATCCTTTTAAATAAAGCCTTATTATTTACCTTTAGAATAAAAAAACCCTAGAATATACACTACCCAATTTTTAATAAAGGCACTTAGGTAACTAACAAAATCTTACCACATATCTGTAGCTGTGGTAATAGGATCATAATTCAGGATTTCTGGAGCTGGAAGGAAAAATACAATTTAAAATTCAATACTGACAAATTTAAAATCATGAAACTTACTTTACATTAAGTTAAACTGGGTTTAATTTTAAAAAGCTACTAATAAGATCAATAGAAATTTAACATCACATTAATTATCCTGTGACTGGACATTTAAACTTATCTAATGTTAAGCAAATTATGTAACAACATGATTCAAAAGCCCCAATAACATTCTTTGGTGTAACTAGTAGCTACATATATATATATATATATATATAAAATTAATCCCAGAAAAAATAATTATGAAGCGTAAAGTGTTAGAAGCTAGAATCTTCTTAAAATCTTATTCTACTACTCGTGGAAATCAGTCTGGGTTTTCACTAGACTGATTTAAGTTTTCCTGCTCAGGGCAACAGCATCCATGCATTGTATGACGATACGAGGAGCAAACTGCTTCCTGGACGCACTCTAGGTTTCCAAGTCGGTGAAATATCCCCAATTTCCTACGCAATTAATTCCCCACTGTCTCTTCCCTGCCCATGCTTTTTAAAATGCAAAATAGATTATCTATACTTTCTAAACATTACCATAAATTTCAAATGAGTAGACTACAAACTCAGACTTATGCTTGAATAGTAATTGTTTGGTTTCAGCGTGGTTTCCTAAGTTCTCCAAGAAAGATGGTTTCCAAAGCCCAGCAGTTTCAGTGATAAAGCCTCTGAGACCTGCCTGTCCTCAGCTGTCACAGCAGCACCTACAACCACTTCCTGTACTGTGGTAGCTGTGCTACCTAGAATTACAATAATGCCCTCTGGGCACTAGCCTCCGTTAACATCCAGAAGTTAGTCATCTAGGGAACCCAGCTGCCTGCTGAGAGCAACACCTGCTCTGCGTAGTGCAATGCCTGCATGGGATAGCGATACACGTGGAAATGGAAGAGTATAGAAAGATTACTACTATAAACTTAAAATTTTACATTACATGCTGCCTCATATAAACTTAAAAATCTTCAAGGTCTAATCTGTTGATCTAGCACATTATTAGATTATTTAATCATAATTTTTTGTCACACTTCTTTAAAATCCTTTTACAAACTGAGGCAAAATCAACAAACAACGAGGAGTCCTGCTACTGATTCCTGGAACTGAAGATCTCTGTATTGTCAACAGCATCAGAGCTGGGACAGGACAGAAGGAGAAGTGAGGGCTATCCAACTGCTGGCCTCAAGGGCAGCGACAGCCCACTTGATCTGTTTTCCCTTTTCCCTGCTCCCTCACTTTCCTTTTACCCAAACATTAAGCTTTTGAATTTATCTTGCCTAATATGCTGTGGATTGTTGTGAATGTCTCAATAATCTAACATTCATTAAGTTCGTTCAAGTGTGTCATACCGAATTTCACTGTACTAAAATACCTGAGCCAAATATACCCCGAAGTTACATGCTCTAAAATATATTATATAGAGGCGCCATTGAGTTAATAAATTTCAAAATGGTGTCGAAAATAATGGAAAATTCTTACCTAAGTATTCAGGTGTCCCCATGATTTCCCGGAGTTCACACGCATTTCCTAGTTTTCGAGACATTCCAAAATCTACAATTTTTATGTCCCCAAGAGGGTATATGCTGCTCAATAATATATTCTGTGGCTAATAAAGCACAATAAAAATATGATCAGTGATATACAGCAATAAAACACGATTAGTCTCCGATCAGAGGTCAATTAAGTGAGACGTACTACTTATATATTTCACTGAGTCATTCATGAAACATTTTCTAAACTACTATTTAGAAGGAGCTATAGATTTAATGATAAATAAAGTAAGAAATACACTCAGAGGATTCTTGGTTTGGGGAAAAAGATGCATAGACTGATTAACTAATTATGATATAGAATACACAGTAATAAAGACTACTTAATTCTGCCCATAATAAAGCCCAGGAAGACTGCAGTAGAAATGATGCTTAAGCTGAATCCTAAAGAACACACAGGACATGCCAGTTAGAAATGTGCCCTGGGGAATCATATAAACAAAGGCTTGAGGGAATAACATGCATACATTTCCAGAAATAAAAAATGGTTGCGTACAGTATTATGGTCCTGAGTCTGACTATAGGTGAGACAATAAGCTGGATGGGAAAGTCTACGGAAGAGAAATTATATAGAAAGAACGCAATGTCAAAAAATAAGATGCTGATGATTCTGATGTTGAGTTCCTCCAGTAGCTGTGGTGGAAGGATAAGGAGAAAGGCTAGTACCATGAGAGGCTGAAGTGGTGTCAGGGCTTGGCAAAGGGGCCTGAATGATCTGAGGGGAAGGAGGAGCAGAGGAGCAAAAGACTGAAGGCCTCAAGAGAAAGGCAAGTGTGAGGGAGCAAAGGAGTGAGGGTGAGGAGGAAGATGCCTTCAGGGATGGGTCAGAAGTGAGGGTTTTAGAAGGAGGTGGTTCATAAGACAGGAAGATCAGGATGTCAGAGAAGGTGGCATGGGGTGACTTATGGGTGAGACCATGGAGAACGGTGGTTTAAGAGCCCAGTGACCACTGTGAGCTGCTTACACATGCAGGCCTCTCCTCTGCCAACACAAGCTTAAGCGCACGCAGCACAAAACACAAGCTTAAGCGCACGCAGCACAAGGGAAACGGGAGCACACCAGTGCTGCCCGGACCCAGATCTGACTGCTGCTTCCTGCCAGCCCAGCCTGCCACCGTGTAAACCCAGAGCAGAGAAGGAATAAGGAACAAGGGTAGTGGTGCTTATAATTCCATCTTACGTTACCTTTAAATCAAGGTGCACAATGTTATTCTGATGCAGATAACAAACTCCTTCAAGTATTTGTTTGATGAGTCTGATAATGTCACTTTCCGAGACCATTTCTGCCAGCTCAGGTAAACACAAGTTGAAAATTTCTCCACCTGCAGCACTGATATAAAATTCAAATAATAGAAACTTGAAAAATTATTGTTCTAAATATGACTCTCTTAAATACTATATCCCTATAAAGTAAAAGGCACACAGCCATCTACATTTTAGTCTCTATATATACACATTTAGAGTAGAAGAGCGTGGGAGGGATTTTTAAGGAATAAAGTAGATGACTAGAGTATTTCAAATTATGAATACTAATATTTGAATATTTAACAAATTAAATTGCATTAGAACTCAAGAATAACTGCCTTAACTGCAATAAAAATAATAGCTGACACTAGGAGCTCAGTTCTGCTGCCCCTCCATTTTACTCATTTTTATTTAACTACAAATATCACCTGTTTTGATCTTTATGACAACCTTGTGAGGTAGGTGGCTATTATTTCCACTTTACAAATGAAGAGACAAGTACAACGAGGATAAAGCAACCTGTACGTGGTCGGTCACACAGTAAATTGAGGGACCAGAATCTCAATCTGTATAAAATGGGTGAGAATCAATATTCTTCACCAACATCCTGTTTGGCAGTTTTACAAAGAATACTTAAAGCCAGAACCCAATTCTTTTATTTATATTTATTTGTTTGCTTATTTTTAAAGAATTGAACAGCCAAAAAATGTTGACAAAGGCATAGTGAAAAATCCCCACATCTGGAAATCACATAATTAAAATCCTAAATCTGCTATTTACAGCAATATAATTTAGGGCCAGTCACTTATTTGAGCTCCCCATCAGTAAAACAGAGATATCACTTAATACAACAGATTTTATTTTTTTGAAGACTAACTCTAAATACTAAGATAAAAAGGTCTCAGTCAGAACATCATGCAAAAAAAAATCTAGATGGTCAGTCATCAAATTTAAAAGGTATGTTTGGGAATATCTCAAGTAATGCATATCCTATCTAATAAAGATGGAATATGCAAATTGACGTGACAAAGATGGAGGTGGCCATGCCGGGCCACTTGTATCATCGCCATGGTACGACGCAGGTGTTCCACCCTACCCGGGCCACTCTGGGCCTCTGGGCAGCGCGTGAAGGCAGAAGGCAGCAGCCAGAGCGAAGGCCCGGGTCCCAGGCGCCAGCATCCAGGGGAAGGAAAGCCTATTCTTGCATGAATTTCATACACCAGGCCTCTAGTTCTATGTAATAAAGCAGGAACTCATTCACACTAAGAACCACTATTATTTTTATTTCTTTGCCTCACTGCTATACCCACAGCATCGAGAAGTGTCTGACATGTAGAAATGTTTGTTGAATGAATGAATGAATGAATGCATGGATGGATGGATGGATGGATGATGGGTGGATGAATGGATGGATGGATGGATGGATGGAGGGTGAGTGGATGGGTGGGTAGGTGGATGAAGGGTGAGTGGATGGGTTAGTGGGTGGATGGATGGATGATGGAATAGGCAGTCATGCTTCAGAACAGCTGAATCTGAAATTCAGACATCTCAGTGACTGCCAAGAAGAATAGTATTAGGAGCCATAAGAAAAAAATCAATGCTTGTCACAAATTTGAGTCTCACATTGAAAGTCAGAGGATTGATCCTTAATGCTGCTGATGTAACTCACAATCGAGCCGTCTACACTGAGTGTGCCAGCAGCCAGGTGTCCGCCGGCAGAGGCCGCAGGGCTGCGCTGCTTTGCATTTTGTTGGAGAGTCCAAAGAACCCCGTGGGGCAGCTGGTAAGGAGCACATGTGAAGCTCGGATCATGTATACCCCATACATACCTCAACTCCCACCCCTCTGCATCTCTCAGAATGTTGATGAGAAATTAATTTTAATATCTGTCTTAGCTTTACATTGGTAAAGACAATCTGATTATGAAACATTTAGTTTGTTTTAAAATGTATAGTAGTGAACTCTACCCTATGTATTCCTGCAAAGACTGCACATAATACTAATGTGATGGTTAGCACATATGCCCGTTATTCCTACTGTAACATGACTGAAAATTATCGATCCGATTTCAGTGGGTTGCTACAAGTATTAAGTTAGATAAATCGTAAACTACTGAATACAACAGACGTTACAAGGATCAAAACAGATTATCAGTGTCTGACACATGATAAATATTAAATAAATATTCTTCATTATTCTAATGAGTAACAAATACCAGTTCCACATCTAGCCAACATTCAGCCTTTCTAGATGTGAGGCTTCTTGTTGACTATGAAGGCAATTTTCAAAAGTCTTTGCTAAATTAAAATTCAGTTTTAGAAACACTGCATCATACATATGAAAGTATATATTATATTCTTAAGTGAACAAAGAAGGTTACAATGGAGTATGCCCAATCGATCACAATTTGTTTCTAAAGGTAAATATGCATAGACTGAAAATTAAGAATAATTTTTAAATATAGGAATATGCCATAAAAGTAAACATAGTTTACATGATATCCATTTTCTATATCTTCTAAATTTAACACAGTAGGTTATTACTTTTATAACCAGGGACACTATCCTTCCAGTTTTTTGTTTGCTTATTTCAGTAACAAGATCAAACAAATACTATGATGTCAGCCTATCAAACTGTCTCTTCCTTTCAGTTTGGCAAGCTGACCAATGTCTGTGGTAGGACTACCATTTTCCCCACAAAAGAGATACACAGGTGGAGCCACAGAAAGTGAGCCAGGGTTAAGGAGAAAGAAAAAAACAGATAACTTAAGAAGCAGATTACAGAAGTTAGCAGAAACTGGATGAATACTTTGACATGTAAAGGGCTATCAAGACACCCACAAATTTTAAATGGTTCAGTTAATGTGGCAAGATGTCAACAATTGGTGAATCAAGCTGAAGAGTAGTGTTAATTCTTTCAACTTCTTTGTAGATTTGAAGTTTAAGTCCTAATATGTCAAAACTTTTGATGCATTTTATTGTTGCTATTTAGATCAGCAGTCGCCAACTGATGGTCTGTGAGGTCCCAAAGGTTGGCTATGCTGATTTAGATGATTGAAAAAAGAAGATTTTATAAAAGCTAACGATGTTCTTTGTGTATTCATCCTCCAAGCCTGAAATTCCATAATTGTTTTTGAAAAAATGTCAGCTACTTTTCACATAGTCAAACATACAGATGCCATGTAAGTAGATAACTTTTTAAAGGTCAGCTGAAGAATCTGACATATGTATGTAATCACAAAAATGCATGAACAATGAAATCATACTGGTAGTATCCTAGGCTCTTCTGCTATTTAATTAGTTTTAGTGTCTGTGGGGCTGCACTTTTAGCCTTGTGAAAGTAGATGAATATAAACTATCTATGTTCCTATAATAGCTTATCAGCAGGAATGCTAACAAGATCTTGTCATACCTTTATCATTCTTGTCTTGACATTTCAAGTCACCCTATCCCACCAATGAAGGAGGTACTATAAATTTACTTAAATTTACTAGAGTATATACTTACTATTCCAATACCAAAATGATTTCACTTGTGTTTTCATAGACTTCATGGAGATTGATCACATGGGGACAGGACCTGGCCAATTCAAGCACAGCAATCTCGTGCAGAATCTCTGCGCGGCAATCCTGGCCTCTCCTTCGCTTCTTTAGAAACTTTGCAGCATACTCCTGGCCGGTTGATTTTGATATACACTGTCTAACCACAGCGAACTTTCCCCTGGGGAGGAAAGGACAAGCAATTTTAACCTTTCTATGAAGAACAATATCAGTACAACACAAACACTGCTATACCTCCAACTCAGAATCCGCCTTTTCAAAAAATCATGCCATAAAATTTATCTTTTTTCTCTTAAACGGCTGCATGTACTTTATAAAATGCCTAGCATTACCACATAAAAAGAAAAAGGGCAAAAGTCGCAGTAGGATGACAGAATTACATTTGTTCTTCCCTGGTCAAACATGGTCATTGCATACCACTCCACGCCACACTCGCCACATAAATTACATTTAATACACACAACCCTATAGTGAATGCTGCTCTGCTTTGCAGGCTCCAGAGAGGCTATGTATCTTAATCTATTCCCCAAAACCAGGTCCTTCATAGCTTTAACTCTAATCAAAAAGGCTTTCCCTCAAATACAATCAAGACGAACACAAAAATTGGTACTTGACATTTAATTTTACTAGCACAATCACTTTGCCTTTCAACACCACTTTTAACAAGCTTTGAAGCTTCCTATCACAATTTGTCAGTTGTATTACCAGTAAATCTCTTAGTATTGCTCAGTAGTCTATGAAGCCTGTAATAGGTATCAAAGGTATATATGTCCTTTGGAGAGAACTAAAGGCAGTTCCCTTTCTACTAAGAAATTAATGGTTATCAACAGCTATGTACAAATACACCCCTTACCGTCATGTGTGTCATTTTAGGAATAAGTATGCGTTTAGCTCTCTCCAATACAAGTGCTCAGCATCTCAGCCAAAATTTAAAGACAGAGGCAAATTGTATATTCTTAGCCTATAGTTGCTAAAAATCTAGTTACCCAAAGACCTGATGCTATTTTGAGTAATACTACTTTAGGTGACTAATAAAAGCTACTAACTGCCTATCCAGAAAAACGTACACGTGCCCTTAAATAGAAAGTTTTCATACAATTTCAGAGGGGTTTCAGAGTTCAAAGCCCATTCATACAACCTCTAAGCCTGAGGACAAGAAATCCAAAATTAAGGAGCTCTATCCTAAAATTCAAATTATTCTCTAGATACTAACAAGTCAAGTATAAATAAAGGTCCTGCAGAAAGTAACCTGTGACTCACTACTCCTCTTGTCCCAATTCCCCTTACATATACTTGTAACACAGCATGCACGTGCTTCTCAAGGAAGGTTCTGTAATTCATCTGGCCTTTGGGTTTGGGGTGGGGCCAAAATATATTATTTGATTCTCTTTTATGTACTGTTCTCAAGGACCAGGATGACAAAGATTCCTCCTCTTTATTTCCCAAACTTCCTCCAAATTAATGCCAATGAAATACACTGGAAATCACACTGAAAAACTTTGGCTATTATTGCGGGGGGGGGGAAAGTAACTAAGCTATAATTTGCCTCTTCTACATTTTTCAAGATATGTCAACTCAATAAATCTGCATGGACAAACCTGATTCTTTGAGGGAACTTTTTCATTTATTCTTTGAGGATGCTTAATTTTAACTACAATATAGTTTCTTGTTGGAGAATGAAGATGGAGGCATAGGTAAACATCTATACTTGCTGCCTCTTATAACATCAAAATTACAACTAAAAGGCAGAACCACCCTAGCCGGCTTGGCTCAGTGGATAGATTGTCGACCTGCAGACTGAGTCCCAGGTTTGATTCCAGTCAAGGGCATGTACATGGGTTGAGGGCTCGGTCCCCAAGGGAGAACGTGTGGGAGGCGGCCAATCAATGATTCTCTCTCATCATTGATGTTTCTATCTCTCCTTCTCCCTTCCTCTCCGAAATCAATAAAGAAATATATTTTTTTTAAAATTACATACGGGAAAGCCAAGTGGAAGTTCCACAACTAGAGAAGTGAAGAAAGTGCAATGAGACTGGTAAGCGGTTCAGAGGTGTGGGAAGTGATGGAACCTGGATGTGCTGCTCTTTTCATTTTGAGGGAGATACAAGCTCCCCCTTGCTCTGAATTCCAATCCTGGGCGAGATTCTGGGGAACCCAGACACATACGGGGAGAAACTGAACTGTCTGGCATCGGGACAGGAACATGGGGGAGGCTTTCTCTCAGAGGTGCTCGCAGTGATCATTGTTCCGTGGGATGCAGAGATCCGGGGACCTCTCCAGTACAGGGCTGACCTCTCCGGTGCAGGGCTGACTGGCAGCCATTGCTGTTTGCTCCACCCTGATGATTCCCAGAGATCCCACCCCACCCCATTTACAATGCCACCCCAGCTGTGTGCAGCGGCTTTTGCATATGAATGGCCTGTCCTTTCTCCACCTACAACCTGTCAACTGCAGCTGACTCAGAGAGCCCCAGAGCTTCCAAAAGAAGGCCCAAGGCCCGGCAGCAGCAGCCTGCTTGGCTTCCCAGCTGGGCCTCATTGGGGCACTTCCAAACCTCAAACAAAGAGGAGGAATCTGCAGATGTCTCTGTAACTCCCACTGGGTGGCCTCAGGCAGTGGCTGACCTTGCACCTCCTTGGAAATCCAAGAGCCAGTGTACCCAATGGTCAGTGTGAGACCTTACCAGATTACAACTCTTCACTCCATAAGAAACACACTCAAGGGCAGACTTAGTGAGCACCAAAGCCCCACTGAAGCAAGTCCTGCCCCATAAGGGTGTCTCCTGCAAAACAGATCTTCCAGTGTAGACACAGCTGGGCATCACAGCCAATTGGCATGGAGGTCAATTCCTCCCAGTGACACTAACAGCAATCAAGGCTTAACTATAAGGAGACTGTGCACACAGTCCACAAAGGGGTGTACCAAGAGCGTCCACCTCAGGTGAATGGGGAGGCTGAGCCACTGGGCCCTACAGGACACCTAGCACACAAGGCCACTCAATCAACTCAAGGAGACTTAGCAGCTACTCAGTACATAGAAACAAACACAGGGAAGCAGCCAAAATGTGGAGACAAAGAAACAAGTCACAAATGAAAGAAATGGAAGAAAGCAAAATACTGGATATAGAGTTCAAAACCACTCAAGAATCTTCTAGAAACCTCCAAGAAATTTAGTGAGACCTTCAAAGATATGGAAAAGGACCAATCCAAAATTAAGCATACAATGACTGAAATAAAGAATAATATACAGAGATTCAACAGCAGACTAGAGGATCCCAAGAATCAAGTCAAAGATTTGAAATACGAAGAAGCAAAAAATATCCAACCAGAAAAGCAAAAGAAAAAAGAATCCAAAAATATGAAGATAGAGTAAGGAGCCTCTGGGACAACTTCAAGTGTACCAACATCCGAATTATGGGGGTGCCAGAAGAAGAGAGAGAGCTAGATACTGAAAACCTATTTGAAGAAATAATTACAGAAAACTTCCCCTACCTAGTGAAACAAATAGACTTACAAGTCCAGGAAGAGCAGAGAACCCCAAACAAGAGGAATACACCTAGACACATCATAATTAAAATGCCAATTGCAAAAGAGAAAGAGAGAATCTTAAAAGCAGCAAGAGAAAAACAGTTACCTATAAGGGAGCACCTATACGACTGTCAGCTGATTTCTCAACAGAACCTATGCAGGCCAGAAGGCAGTGGCAAGAAATATTCAAAGTGATGAATAGCAAAAACCTACAACCAAGATTACTCTACCCAGTAAAGCTATCATTTAGAATTGAAGGTCAGATAAAGAGCTTCACAGATAAGAAAAAGCTAAAGGAGTGCATCACTGCCAAACCAGTATTATATGAAATGCTGAAGGGTATTCTTTAAGAAGAGGAAGAAGAAGAAAAAGGTAAAGATAAAAATTATGAACAACAAATACATATCTATCAACAAGTGAATCTAAAAATCAAATGAATAAAAAACCTGATGAACAGAACAAATTGGTGAATGTAATAGAATCAGGGGCATAGAAACGGAGCAGACTGACAATTCTCAGTGGGAAAGGGCTGGGGGAGAGTGTGGGAAGAGATTGAACAAAGAGCTTATACCTATGGATGAGGTCAGTGTTGGGGGATGAGGAGAAGGGTTAGAGTGGGATAGGAACTGGTTGGAGGGCAGCTATGAGGAAAATAGAGGAACATCTGTAATAATCTGAACAATAAAGACTTAAAAAAGATATTTTCTTACTGTATGTAAAAAAATACAAATTGATGCATTTCAATGAACACAAAAAGTTAATAATTTCCTTAACTTTCTTTCAAACCACTTGTATTTTATAGATTTTATATCAAATAAACTGAGTCAGACTAATATTAAATGACTCATGAAAGGTCATACATGGGATGGGAGTGCCAAGAATTACACTGTGGAATGTGAATCCCTGGCTTTCTGTTCTAACCACTACAAAACAATTCCTCCTTTTAAGACAGCTGTTTTTTAATAAGTGCAACTCACACACTTCTGCCAATTCTTTCTTAGGTTTAGAAACAAAATTTATCTAAAACAGAATGGAAATTTTAAGTTTTATGAAGAAATCCATTTAGGAAAAAGAAATAGTAGGCCAAGCAAATTGTCCACATATTTTATAGCACTAATTCAGTTCAACTATAATTTTATGAATGCCAAGATTTTCTCAGAAACAGATAACAAAATTAAATAGTTTTTATCAAATTGTTTCAGGCATTTTAAATAGCTTTTTTAAGCAAGTTTAGTTGTCAGAGCAAAGGTGACAAAATGATATTGGTAATTATTTATTTGCCAGTATTCACTACTAAATAAAAGCCCAGTGAAGGCAGAGACCCCATCTGTCCTAGTTACTACAGTAATTATAAAATCTCCATCAGCTAACTAACACATAATAGAAACTAAAATATTTGTTGAATAAATGCAAAAGTTAAGCCACTACTATATACCATAGAGTGTGCTATTTCGGATCCTATGCTTAAAGCATTTACATTTTTTAAAGCTTATTTTAGATTCCAATAAAATTTTACTTATAAATAGTCACTACATTATTTACATATCATTAAAGGTTAGTATTTTTATCATATGACTTAGAAAAAAAAGTATTTGATTTCTATTCTAAAATGTTAATTGTGGTTTAGAACTATCAAAATAAACTTCTATACATAATATTCCTCCATCAAATACAACAAAACTAAGAAAATGTAAAACCCACACCAAGTATACGTAATTAATTCATACCCTAAAAAGGCAAATCTGACTAGATTTCCCAGCAGCGACAAGGTCTAGTAGCTCCCCTCTGCATTCTAGAATAGACAATAAAATGTGAGGGGAGGGGGAGGGTGACCACAGAGGAAGCTGACGTTTATTTCGGCATTGGCCTCACCCTCTGACCACAGAGGCCTGTGAAACTTGCCTCAGTTGGGGGGAGGGTAGAAAAACTTAGCCAATGTGTTAAAAAACAGGAACGACACAAAGAGCTTTGAGAATAGTCAAAACTGAACTATTAACATTTGCATGTTATTTTAGTTTGCTAAAGAAATAAGATTATAATGCTAATTTCTATTAATTAGGATTATAATCCTAATTAAAATTGGTAATGATATTAAAAGAACTTAGTCCTGGCCTGTGTGGTCACGGTTCAATTTCCAGTCAAGAACACATACGTAGGTTGCAGGTTCTACCCCCAGGCCTCCTAGAGGTACCTGAAGAAGGCAACCAATCTAGGTGTCTCTCTCACATCTCTCTCTCCCTCTCTCCCTAACCCTCCTCCTTCATCCCTTCCAGTCTCTCTTAAAAAGTATTCACAATCAATGGAAAAAAATATCCTCGGGTAAGGATTAACAACAACAAAATTAAAACAAGTTCTTGGCGAAGGAAATGTCATGATTCCCAACTTATCAAGGTTTTCTAGATATATCAATATTTACCATATCAATCTTTAAAAAATGCTAGGTTTCTTTCATAAAGATATTAGAAGGTGAAATATTAGAAGCCTGAATTTGTTTTAATTAGATTCTTTCAAGAGTTTTTGCTCTAAAATGTTAAAGAGTAGATCTGATTCAAGTTCATGCTTTTTTTGATGGCATCTTATTTGTAAAACAATTGAGAATTAATAACACTGTCCTCTACAAAGTTTAATTTTTCATCAAAGAAATAAATTTTATAGACTTTCTAGCTCCTAAGTCCCCTATTTTGTGAATTTAATTTAATAAATGAATGTACATTTACTCATTAAAATAGTAACTCAGAAAAACAGAAAAGAATGCCCTTTATTGTATGTACTGTTCAAAGCAGAGTTATCTGCTCAAAGAAGTTTCCAAACATTTTTGCAACAGAAGGAAGATTGGAGACATCTAGTCCACCCTCTCATCTTCAAGAAAAGTAAGTCACACAACTAAGTAGATCACACAACTTTAGACAACTTTAGGTTCAGAGTAAAAATAGGTCAGCTGACTTCCAGTTTCATCTGTTTTTACAAAATATACTGAAGGATGCCATATGACATATATTTGATATGGCTGCTAAAATAAAAGAAAGAAAACTCCTAACGGAATCTTAGGCCTTCTCAAGTAAAGCTGTTTTCTATTGTAGATGGTAAGATTCTGACAATACTATGTGCAGCCCAAGTCTCCTTATTATCAGACGAACAATGAAAAAAAACAAGTGGTTCAGAATCAGGCTATCTGGAGCTGAGGTCTAAGTTGAGCCTCTAAGGAAACCGGCAGTGCTTGGCCAGAGTCAAATCTCTGGAGGCTTTTCACAGGGACATGATAAGCAGCTGCAAAGGGAACCGTGCCTCCTGTAGATGCGGATAGAGAAAGCAGAACCAATGTGCCCAGGAAGTGCTCACAAAAAGGAACAGGTCTTCTGAGGTTCTGAGTTCCCCATCACTGAAGCAGTCACATTGAAGCTGTGTAAACAGCTTGTCAAGAAAATCATAGAAAAGCCTGCTGCGCTACATAAAAAATTACATTAGGAGATTAACTGACCACCAAGGTCCTTCCCATGCAAGGGTTCTATGACTCTGTCATATGAGATATAAGTCACCACAAGGAAACGTGTGCTTCCCTGTGACACTACAGAGAAATCATTATAGCTTCAGAGCAAAACAATTTTTTAAAACATTCTGAAAGGTTTTAAAAATTACATCTTTTAATACACCACTGAAGGACTCATATAGTTTAACATATAATTAAGTAAATATGCCAGAAGTATGAAATGTGAAACATGTAGTTCTTAGTCTGCTAACAGAGAGAGCATCCTCACTTTGCAAAACAAAGACGGCTCCCGATGTCCATCGGGAACATGATTCCACCAATTTTTGTTTTCACATTGAAATTAAGTAAAAACCAATTGCACTATTTTATTGTAAATTTGTCAATGCAAATAAAGACTAGTAAACCATTTTAACAGAAGCCAAAACACTGCCTTCAGAGCTAAAATCACACTGAGGACAGAAGCTGATCACCATTTTCTCACCCTTTGTTAAGTGCTTTAAAGCTCAACAGATGCTGAATATATAACTTAAATACCTTAGTATGTCTTTTATAATTTGGATAAATGTTAAAATGATACACTAATGGTCTTATGATCTCAGATCATTAAGGAATTTACACCTTGGTTAAGTCAAAACAGATTTAGTATTAGTGTAAGTACAGGTTTTACTGATAGGACATACATTCTTTTTTATACAGAATTCTAATATCAAATATGAGTTAATTTTTTGTTGTTGTTTAATTTAGGAAAGTAGGGGAGAATCTAAACATCATTTTTTAAGCCCAAACACAATATCCTAGGAATTTTTTTTTGACAAAAACTTATCTAGCACTACTAAGTGTTTTATAAATATTAACTAACATAGTCCTCATGACCACCATATAAGATTTACAGTTATCTTCACCCCATTTCTCAGATGATCTACAGCACCAAGAGGGACAGTCATTTCACTGAGGTCAAGAGGCTGAGCTGCCGCTGCCAAGTTCCCCTCAGATGACAACCTAAGTTGCAGGACACAGCAGACATCACTGCTCACTAACCCTGCCGCCAGTAAACACGGGGCCTGTATGGTAACACAGAAATGATGTCTTTTCCTTCTAATCCCTGATAAATGATGACTGAGTTTTATGTAACCAGATACACACAAATCCAAACTGAATTTAAACGGCATACATATCACACAATTTCCTTACCTTCCTAGCTCTTTAGATGTCAGTGTATAAAAATTATTAAAGTTTTCCACTTTCATTGGTGTTTGAGGAGTTGTAGTTAGCAAGCCTGAAACACTTCGGCAATCAAATCTTCTCCTCGACATGTTGGATGGCGTCCAGATATGCTTTTTCAGTCACTTCTTCTTACCTATTTTTTTAAAAAAAGAGAAGAGACAGGATATAACTTCAGTGTAGCTCAGGGGGAAAAAAAGATATCTCAGACAGGATGTGCATTACATTATCAGCTCCAAATATAGCTATAAGCAACCAAAAAGATTTAAAGAGCACATTTTTCCCACCAAGAAAAAAATGCACACACAGAAACTGGTATGGAACTTGAACTATGTTACTGACTTCATTCAGAATAAAACTACTGTAAAACAAAACAAAACAAAAAAACAACTGTAGCCCTAGCTGGTTTGGCTCAGTGGATAGAGCGTTAGCCTGCAGACTGAAGGGTCCTGGGTTCAATTCTGGTTAAGGGCCTGGGTAGTGGGCTCAATTCCCAGTAGGGGGCGCGCAGGAGGCAACCGATCAATGATTCTCATCACTGATGTTTCTGTCTTTCTCCCTCTCCCTTCCTTTCTGAAATCAATATATATATACCTGTACAATTATTTTTAAAAAGTTATTAATTTAATACAAGCAATCACTCAATTTCATTTTGAAACTCTCATTTTTTTAAAGTGTTATCTTCATAAAACAAGGTAATTTATCATAGCTAAGTAAGGATTATTGTTTTTAAATTTAATTTCACATGGCCAAACAAAGTTGGTGGTGAATTCACCTTTTGTGCGTTATATTATTGACATCTGAATGACTACAAGAAGCAGAATTTGTTTCATAGACTCTACAATTCAATACTAAATTCAGAAACTTTCATAGGTTTTAAGAGTTTTGGGGTTTTTTTTGGCAGCATCAGGCACAGAGCCTGTCATGTAAGAAGAGCTCTATAATTTTGTTGGATGAGTGGCTGACCATACTGGAGTTCTCATCTACATCTGAAGTTCAGATTTACCTAGAACTTTGTGATATTTACATGTATTCAGTTTTAACATCACAGCTACTATTTCATATTAATGAATCTCACACAACAGCAGACTATATATTTTAAGATACTTCTCACTTTTTGCTATGCCTATCTAATAAAAGACCAGTATTATTCTCCTAACACCTCTATAATAACCCCCTAGGCTTTTGTTCTTTCTCTGCCACATTTTTCCTCTCCTTATTTCTTATTTGACATGTACTGTTTCTTTACCTTCCTAGATGCAAATGCCAGCTACATTCAGCTTTAGCAAAGAAGCAGTGTGATTGAGGTGTTTTCAACTTCTATATTTTCTCAGTTTTATTCTTAAGTCAGACATTTTTCTCTCACTCTCTTGGTCTTTGGGAAAACAAACACTAGCTGGTTTCGAGGTACACCACTAGTAGTCTAAGGGCAGCAGCGTAGCATTCTGAAATAACATTTGGACTGAATCACATCTGAGTTTGAATCTCATTTATCCCTCACACCAGCAATGAGATCTTAGCTTGATTATTTAACTTTGTTATTACTGTTATGGGCTGAATTATGCTCCCCTCAAAATTCAGGTTGAGCTTCTAACCCCCAGGACCTCAGAAAGTGACTGTGCTTGGAGACAGGGCCTTTGAGGAGGAGGCTAAACTAGCATGAGATCATTAGGGGGACCCCACCCAATAGGACTGGTGTCCCAGTGACAAGAGGAGTCAGGACACAGATGCACAGAGGGAAGACCCTGTGAGCACACAGGGAGGCGCCATGGGAAACGAAACAGAAAGGCCTCAGCAGGCAGATCCCTGTCCACACTGAGCTCAAGCTTCTTCTCTCCAGAACTGTGGAGACAATACATTCATGTTGCTTAAATCACTCAACCTGCCAAACTTTATCACGGCAGCCGGGTAAACTGTGTTAATACAGCTTCTTTTAAAAATAAGAAATAAGTATTTCCAACAAACATCACAGCACTTGCTCTACAACATTATTATTTTGCCATATTGTGTTTAAATTGATAAATGAGACATCATAGACCCAGCTGAAGAAATCCCTTCTTTGCATCCCTCATTTGCATTTCCACTGCCACTGGGTGGGAGGGCTTACCATTTCTTTGCCAACATTTGCCCTATTTGAAGTTTTAATTGTGGCGATTCTGGTATAATGAAGGTGAAAAGGAACTTGGTAATTTATTTTGTATTTCTGATTACTAGTGAGGAATGTTTCAATCCTGCTGCTTCTAAAGTATGGATGGTAACAGAATTTATCTTACATAGCTCTAAAGATTAAAAATTAAAATATGATGAACTCACATAGAATGACACCGGTACAGTGCCAGTCCTGAGACTGTATCATGATTGTCCAATACATATATATTGTTAATATTCTAGCCAAAGATAGTCTCTATACAGTCTCTGCCATTGTTGAGTATCGTTTCCTATACAAAACTCTCACCCCAAGTTAGCTTAAACTTGATTCTTAGAATTCTGTTTTTTTAAATTGTTTTAATAAACTATTTGTGTTGGTTTTTTAGTTCTGATAACACTGAGTTTCACAGGTACATATTCCTCTCTTTAAAAGTCAATAATTATCAATTCCTATGCTCAATCTATTTAAGTCACCATATTTTTACAAATTTTTTTCTAAATTTAAAAGTCTATGTGGGTCCTAGCCAGTCTTGCTCAGTGGCTAGAGCATCGACCTGTGGACTGAAGGGTGCCAGCTTCACGGGCACATGCCCAGGTTACATGCTTGATCCCCAGTTGGGGACATGCAGGAGGCAGTCAAGCAGTGTTTTTCTCTCATCACTGATGTCTCTATCTCTATCTCCCTCTCCCTTCCTCTCTGAAATTAATAAAAATGTGTTTGTTTGTTTGTTTTTAAGTCTATGTGAAATCTAAAGAACAAAAGAAACAAAACTAAAACAGACTCAAAAGTATGGAGAACAGAGTGCTGATTGCCATAGAGGAGGGGAGTTGGGGAACTATGTGAGAAAAGTGAAGAGATGAAGAAGTACTAAGTGGTAGTTACAAAACAGTCATGAGGAAGTCAAGTACAGCATAGAGAATAACAGTCAATAATATTGTAATAACTATGGATAGTACAGGTGGGTACTGGAAGTATTGGGGAAGTACTCTGTAAAGTATATGATTGTCTAACCACTATACTATACACCTAAAACATACAAAATAATACTGAATGTAAACTCTAGTTTAAAAATAAAATTAAAAAAATAATTTTTAAAAGTCCATGAATATGCACATTTATGATCACATTTATGCCACACACACACACACAAATACAGAAAGAAAACATGTACCTGTATCATGGATACAAATTAGCTACATTCCCCACAGTCAGGACTTGGGAAACAGGAGGACAAGAACATATCACATTCAACCACAGAGACAGAATAAAGGGTCCTGAGTCTAGAATGTGCACCTGATCTAAATTCTAGAATCTAAGATGGCTATTTCATGCTGTAATATATCAACTTCAAAGTAATCTATTCATAAGGAATTTGGTTGAATTATTAAGATATACAAATAAGTATTTTCTGCTCTCAAGTTTAAAAAATATCAATATGGATCTTAGAAGCAGTAAAAAAAAATATATTCAATGAAGTTTTATAATTGTGAGGAAAAAAAAGAAACATGTGGAATGAATGAACTCCAAAGTCCAACAATAGGAAATGGTTAAATACATCTGAATAATAGGATATTATATACTCGAAAATTGTGCTTTTAAAGAATCTTTTATACTCAAATTATAAAGTGAAAAAAGGAAGACATAAAACTTTATAAACAATATGATAATTTTGTGGGAAAATAAAAAAGCAAATAGCAGAAGACTGGAAAACAATGGCAAAATGTTAACAGTGGTTATCTTTGGGTGGTGGGATTATGGCACTATTTATACCTTCCGGTGTTTAAGTTATTTACACTAAGCAGATTCTACTATAACAATTAATAAAAGATTAATAAATACCTTTGGGTAAAACAGATAGATGTACTGGTATATATATCTGACTGGATTCTATGTGCAGAAACACATTTGCAACAGCAAAACACACTTTTTATACATTATGGGTTTACTTGGCTAGAAGTTCAAGAGCCATTCCTATTCTGGTTTTTTAAGACCTCAGTGTTTTCTGTGCATTTCTCAAACCTATTTCCAAAGATTTTTTTCATTATCCCCATTTTAATAATTACAATACACATTCAGATATGGATCAGGGAGTGAAGGAACAGAAGGAAATGTTAGACTTGATCTGAGCCTTACCTTGCTTTAAAAGGAGAAAGAAAGTGTGATGTGATCAAAGAAAGACAATTCCTATAAATCTCTAAATAGCTCTATTTTAAAAATATTCATCATAATATTCATTCCAAACTTATCAAACAAAAATGTTTCATAGAACTAGACTATTTCTACAATAAATGAGAACTCCTAGAGAACTAAATGGCCTGCTTTGATCTCTTCATTAGCTTCTCAGCACCTACAAGCAATCGAGTCCTGACACATGACACAGAGGCTGAGCAGGTGCACCAGCTTCATTTCCTGCCACACTCATGTCTCAGAGTGTGGCTCCACATCTCTGTTTTACTTCCCTGCCTGAAACAGCCTTTACCTTTCCTTAAATGGCTAACTTTCCTTATGCATCCTTCACATTTCAACATAAAATGTGATCTCCCCCCCTCTCTGGGAAGCTTTGACATTGTTAAAATCCAAAAAAAGTTGGGTTAAGTGCCTCTCCTTTATGCTTCAAACAGGACCCTTAACATATCTCTACCTCAATACCTAACATGTTAGATTTCAATTATGTTTAGTGTCTAAAGGGCAATAACCACTTACTTTTATGCTAAACTCACAGCATGGTGTCTGGCACCCGGTAGGAATTTTCAAAATGTTTGATGAACTGAATTATAAGATTTATGAAAAAAAGAAGCATTTTTAGATACATCTCAAATCATCAAGAGTTGTGCAGAACTTGAGATATATCTTGAAATTAATAGTATTGGAGCTCTAAATGCAGCTAGTCTCTGCTTAATTTGGTATTTGGCTAAATAAAATATGATAAGATGTTTTAAATTG